GACACAGTTAGGTGTAGAGAGACAGCTAGCTGCAGAGAAATTCAGCTAGTCGCCTAGCTATCTATCTAGCTAGCTAGCTAGCTAGCTGTTCGCTGTAAGCTAGGTAGCTTGCTAGCTGTTCCCTGCTAGCTAGATACCTAGCTAGCTTGCTGTTCGCGATGCGCTAGCTAGCCAGCTAGCTACCTTGCCGTTCGCTATTAACTAGCTAGCTCGCCAGCTAGCTAGCGAGCTAGCTAGCTAGCTAGCTGCTGTTAGGTGCAAGGACTCATTCTACTGACCCGCTGCAGCCCCTGCCACTCTACTTTCTCTCCGTCTCCTCCCGCAACATCGCAGATATGAACCTGCAGCGTAGTCCCCCGGCGCCTGGAGCTGCTGCTGCTGCTGCTGCTGCTGCTGCGGCTGCTGCTGCGGCTGCTGCTGGCCGTCTCCGGTGTCTCTACATCGAAAGAAGAGGCACTGAGCAGAGCTGCGTCGTTGCTTTGACTGTCTCCTTCCGGCTGTCCCCAAGGCCCCTTCGCCCCACCAGCAGGCAGCACGAAGGACTCGCTGCAGCAACAGCAGCAGCAGCAGCAGCAGCAAACATCAGCAGCAGCACATGCTGCAGCGCTAAGGATCCAACGACGCCAACTGCCACAATGCAACAACACTCACTGCTGCTGCATCCCCAGCAGCAGCAGCACGAGCAGCAGCAGCAGCATGAGCAGCAGAAACAGCGGCAAGAGCAGCAGCAATAGCAGTAGAAGCAGCAGCAGCAGCAGCAGAACCAGCAGCAGCAGGAGCAGAACCAGCAGCAGCAGGAGCAGAACCAGCAGCAGCAGCAGCAGGAGGAGCAGCAGCAACAAGAGCAGCAGCAGCAGTGCTGTGTCCTCACGTGTAGCTGCCAACAGAAGGTTTGGTAGGAATAAATGCCCCCAGCTTAAGTCTATACACCAGAGCTGTCTTGCCTGAGAAGCGAGGCCCTACAAGCAGCACGCGGAGCTGCTGCTGCTGCTGCTGCTGCTGCTGACAGCGAGTGAAGAAGCGAGAGACGCTGCGGCCAGAACGCAGCAGCAATTCCCCCGGCCTCATCTGCTGCAACTGCTGCAGCAGATGCAGCAGCAAGCCGCAGCAGCCCCCGCTGCTCCTGAGGATACACCCCAATGGCTGCTGTAACCACCGCCAGCAGCAGCACCAAATAGCTCGACCGAACATGCGTCCGCTGCTACTATTACTCCTTCTGCTGCTGCTGCTGATGCTACAGCTGCTGCTGCTTCTGCTGCTGCACCCGTTGGTGCTGCAGAAACAGCTGTTGCAGCCCTTTTGCTGCTGCTGAGAGGCTCAGGCCCCAAAGGTGTCGCAGCTGCTGAGCTGCATGTACACCTGAAGTGCTGCAGCAGCAATAACGCAAAAAAAGCTGCTGGGGAGAAGCAAAGGTCTCTTTGACGACCCTACAAGTCTAGCAGCAGTAGCAGCAGCAGCAGCACCTGCTGCTGCTGCTGCTGTTGCTGTTGATGCTGCTGCTGCTGCTATACTTTCTGCAGAAGGGGGCCGAGGGCACTGGCGTGTCAGGCCTACAGGGGAACTCTAAAGAGAAAGAACTGCAGCAGGAGAGGGGGTCCCCCTCAAGCCAAGTTGCTGCTGCTGCTGCTGCTGCTGCTGCTTGGCGCTGCGTGCTGCTGCTGCGGTGGCTGCTGCTGCTCGTGCTGCATCCACAGTTGTGCTAGAGGCCGTTAGTTAGAGACACTGCAAAGAAGCTGCTTCTTCAATCTCTGTCGCTTTGCTGCTACAGTTGGCTGCAGGAGCAGCAGCAACAGCAGCGGCAGCAAGAACGAGCTGTATTACCGCAGGAGCAGCAGAACGACGACGGCAGCAGCGGTTGCTGCTGCTGCTGCTGCTGCTGCTGCGCTAGATGTACTATTATATTATGTTATCCTTAGAGTTAAATGCTGCAGCTCAAAGGCGAAAAGAAAGAAGTAGATTGAGGGCTATAAATGCAGCAAACTGAGTTAAGCAGCAACTCGCAGTGTACAGGCTGCTGAGCTCTTTCTTTGTCTAAGTTGTTTGACTTAAGACAGCAGCAGCAATAGAATTAAAGAATATATAATTGATATATTATTCTTTTAAAAGCTTCCTTAAAGCTGCACTGCATGCAGCAGCAACCTTAGCCAGCCCCGTCGGCTGCGCCTCTTCTGTCTTGACGTATCTTTCTTTGTTATCCGTAGAGTTTGGTTGAGTAAAGAAACGACAAATAAATTATGTTTGTTTGTTTTTATCTTATTTAAACCTCTGTAGCTTAAGGAGCCGCTTAGAACAAAGAAACAGAAAGAAAATCAGAGATAAGCTCCGCTCGTGCAGGCCTTCTGCTGCTGTATATACACCGCAGCAGCTGCTGCAACATCAGCTGCTGCTACTGCAGCTGGTGTGGTGTATATACAGCAGCAGCTGTCGCAGCAGCAGCTTCCTGAGGTGTATGTACACCTCGCCAGCTCTTAATATCCCTTCAGATTAAAAACATATAAACATTTGTAGCACCCATCTACAAGGAGAGAAGTTCTTGCCCCCCAAGCTTACGATTGGGGTTTAGGGTTTAGGGTTTAGGGTTTAGGGTTTAGTGTGCACAACCACAGACCCATGGTGTGACTAGAACGATGTCGAGTGTCTCCTCTTGTGTTTGCCTCTCGAGCATACCCCCTGGCTGTCTTCTCGTGTCTCCTTTTTCAGCTGTCTCTGTCTTTGCTGCACTGCATAAGGGGAGAGAAGAGCAGCAGCAGCAGCAACAGCAGCAGCAGCATCAGCAGCATCAGCAGCAGCAGCAGAAGACTGCTACTAAACACGCAAATGAGGCCCCTCCTTTCCTGCGTGTAGGGTTTAGGGTTTAGGGTTTAGGGAGTTGCTGAACCCTTTCCTCTGCTGTATGCTTCTGATGTGTCTCTTGTCTCTTTACTCTCGGGTTAGAGGTGTCTCCTCATTGCTTGGAGACACCTACTGGGGAGACAGAGGCCCCTTAAGGCCTTGTGCTGTCTCTGTCTCCTTTATCCGATAGCTCATCTTCTTTTTGTTTTCATCTGTCTCTTGTTGCTGCGGTTGCTGCTGCCATCAGCTGCTGAGAGGCAGCAGACTGTCTCTCTCTCTTTGTCTCCATGTCTCTCTCTGTCTCTGTCTGTCTGTCTGTCTGTCTGTCTCTGTCTCTATCTCTCTGTCTGTCTGTCTGTCTGTCTGTCTCTCTCTCTCTCTCTCTCTACATACATACACAAATATGTATGCATATAAATCTGTATATATGTACACACGTATACATATATATATATATACATATATATATATATATATATGTATATATATATATATATATATGTATATATATTGTATGCAATCTTCTGCATTAAAAGAGACAGAAGGCGAAGTGTCTCTTCAGCTTCTGTTGTGTGCTGCAGTCCCCTGTCTCCTCAGCATTCTCTTTATAGAGTTAAGAGGGCTAAGTGCTGTAAACCCTAAACCCTAAACCCTAAATAAGCACCAGAGTTATTGTGCATACAAAAGGAGACAGAAGGAATACTGAGAAGGAGCGCCTATTATTAGGCTGCTGGGGTGTCTCCTCACCTCATCACCAAGGGGTGTCTCCCCTATATATATACATATATATATATATATATATATATGTATAGGTTTAAGAGCTGGCCCCTGTCTCCTTCTCTCTCTCTTATATATATATATATATATATATATATATATATACGCTCTCTTGTTTAATTTATCTTATAAACTGTCTCCTGCTGAGGGTCTTCTGCTTTGTGGCTGCTGCTCGGTGTCTCTCTTTCTGTCTCCTGTCTCTAGAAGAAGCCTCCAAGCAGGGGACTCTGTCTCTTACAGAAAGACACAGTGAGGAGACAGCCTACCTAAACCCTAAACCCTAAAGAGAGAACACCGGTATCTCCTGTCTCCCCTGTGTCTCCTGTCTCCCTTCTGTCTCCTTCTGTCTCCTTTGTGTCTCTGTGTCTCCTTCTGTCTCCCTTCTGTCTCCTTCTGTCTCCTTTGTGTCTCCTGCTGTCTTTTTACTGTTTATTGTTTATATTTAGCTGCTTTGTGCGGCTGCAGGAGGCAGAGAGTAGACAGAGAGAAGAGGTAGAGAGCCGCGGTGTCTGTCTCTTATAGTTGCAGGGCCTACCTGCAGCAGCAACCTCTCTTGCCTGCTAGGCCTTCTCTCTTTAGTTTAAATGCTGCATCTTTAGGGGTTTAAATGGAGACAAGAAGAGAGACAATGCACTGGTGTGTCTCCTCAGCTGTCTCCTGAGGGTCTCCTTGCAGCAGCAGCAGCAGCAGCCTTCGTCGTTCGCTATCTACTCTTGAGCCGCTGCAGCAGCGATAAAGCAGCCTTTTAAAAGCAGCAAATGAAAGAGTTTGTCTCCTTCTGTCTCTTGTCTAAAACCCCAGCTGAGGAGACACCTGAGGTGTATATACACTGAACAGACCAACGCCGAGTTCTAAGGGCACAGCCAGCAGCCAGCAGCAGCAGCAAACTTTCTTGCATTTTGCTTGTTGTTTTTTGTTTTATTTCTTCTTATTAAATTAAAAAGGCTATTTTAAACACTTCGACAGCAATATTATCCAAGCTGCTGCAGCAGCTGCAGCAAACGCTTACCTGTAGCTGCAACAGACCGCCGGAGACAGCAGCAGCAGCAGCTGCAGCAGCAGCAGCAGCAGCCGAAGGTAGCTTACTGCAGCGGGAGGGCCTCATCTTCTCCCGCGGCGAGTCGGGTGTATGTACACCTCAGCACTGCATTTTATGTATTTATTTGCTTCTTTGGTTTGTTGCTCGGTTGTTTTTACTGGTTGTTGTAGCAGGGAGACACTGCTGCTGCTGCTGCTGCTGCTGCTGCTGCTGCTGCCGAAGAGACAGAGTCCACCGCTGGAAGGAGACCCTGGGCTTCGGGTGTCTCTTCAGCAGCCCAGCACTTCAGCTGAGGTGTATATACACAGAAGATGCCCCTCTAGTTTTCATAAGGAGACACCTTATTAGCCTCATGTCTCTATTAAGCAGGCTGCTGCAGCCTGCAGGCTCAGCAGCAGCTGCACCACGAGCAGCAGCAGCAGCAGCAGCACTCGGGTCTCTGTTTCTTTACCTCTGTCTCTTCGAGGGGGGACTGTCTCCTTCTGCAGCGCTCCCAGTGAGGCATCTTTATCTTAATCTCAATATATAAACAGACTGTCTCCTCCGCTGTCTCTGTCTCTGGTCTGCTGCTGAAGAGGCTCTTCTTAACGCGGCGCCTTGCAGCTGTTGCAGCACTTCGCTGCTGCTTCCTCCTGCTGCTGCTGCTGCTGCATGCTCTCACGACTTCTTTACTGCTATTGTTGCTTGTTGCTGCTTGCGACCCTTGCTACTGTCTCCTACCACTCGTTGCTGCGGCTGCTGCTCGGTGCTGTTGCTGCTCTTGCGTATTGCTGCTGCAGCTTCTACATGTTGCTGCTGCTGCATATAGCTCTGTCTCTTTCTGTCTGTATGTCTCTCTCTCTCTCTGTCTGTCTCCTCTGTACTGCAGCAAGCTACCCTAATGCCTCTTGTGGTTTTGTTTTATGAATGTGTCTATCTCTTCTTTGCTGCTTATTTTATATATCTCTTCTTGTTGCTGCTAGCTGCTGCAGCTGCTTTATGTTCTCTTCGTGTGTCTCCGACTGTCTCCTCAGCTGGGCGCCCCTTCAAGCAGCACTCCGCTGTCTGTCTCCTCTCCATGGAGACCTGCTGCTGAAAGAGGAGAAGGGAGACAGCCTTGGTTGTCTCCTGCTGCTGCTGCTGCTGACGATGCAGCACCGCATCTCTGGGAAGAAGGCCTCCCGCTGCTAGCAGCAAAAGGAGACAGTCCCTACTCCTATCTCCAGCAGCAGCAGCAGCAGCAGCAGCAGCAGCACGGCCGCGCAGTGTATCGACACATGTGGGGCCAGGAGACAGTCCCTCGCGTCTTTTACACCGCAGGAGCAGCAAAGACCGGCGATGCAGCAGCAAGTGCAGCTGCAGCAGCAGCAGCAGCAGAAGAGGAGACAGTTGAGGGCTCCTCGGGCGCTCTGAGAGGCTCTTTCATAGAAAAGTCGGTGACAACTACAAATACACCTTCTGCTTTTACTGTCTCCGATCCCTTTGCTCCTTGGGTCCCTCCCCCTCCTCCTCCGTCTCCTGCAGCAGCAGAGACACCTGAAAAAGCTGCAGAGACACCTGAAAAAGCTGCAGAGACACCCCAAGAGACTGCAGAGACACCACCGGAGCCTCAGAAGGAGACTGCTAAACCAGCAGGGCCTGAGCAGGCGCCAGAAGCAGCAACAGAGGAACAACCTGCTGCTAAGGAGACACCTGCTCCTGCTGCAGCAACAGAGGAGGAGAAGGGGACAGAAGCAGCAGAACAACAGCCCTCAGAGGCTGCTGCACCTGCACCTGCTGCAGCAGAAGCATCTGCTACTGGCCGGGAAGCAATGGAGAGAGAGGCTCAGGAAGTAGCAGAGCAGCTGCAGAAGCAAGAGCAGCAGCGCGAGGAACAGCAGCAGCAGCAGCAGCAGCAGCAGCAGCAGCAGGAGAGCTCGGATGAGGGGCGACTAGGGAGGAGGAGAGAAGCAGCACAAGGCAAAAAATCCTTAGAAAAGGCCTTAGCTCAGAAAATTGAAAAGCTGAAGCTAACAGATCAGGAGACAAAAGAATTCGTAGACACAAAAGGTAAGAGACAAACAAATAAAAGGAGACAAACAAATAAAAGGAGACAGACAAATAAAGGGGGACAGACAGACAAAAGGGGACAGACAAATAAAAGGAGACAGACAGATAGAAGGAGACAGAGATAAACAAGGAGAGACTATAAAAACTCTTTTTAGGAGACACTTGTTTGCTTTGTTCTCTGAGTGTCTCCATTTGTTTGTTTGTTTGCTTCTTTGTTTATTTGTCTCTAAGAGCCTTTTGTCTTTGTGTCTTTAATACCCTTATTTTTGTCTGTCTCCTCCGGTGTCTCCTCAGAGGTTGCAAAGAACGTACGGAGACTTGTGGGGCTGAAGGCAGGCTCCAGTCTCCACCTCGAAAATCAAAGACTTATAAAGCCAGTAAGAGACACGAAAGGAGACAGATAAGGAGACATAACAATAGATCGCTAACACTGAAGGAGAGAGATAAGGAGACAGAATAATAGAGAGCTAGCATAAGAGACACAAGGGGAGACAGCGAAGGAGATAGCTAGCTAGAGCAGAAAGAGCAGGAGATAGAAAAAGAAACACAGAAGGAGACAGAAAAGGAGGCACCAGAGGAGACAGCAATGAAGGAGAGACAGAATAAGCAGACAGCTAAGCAGAAAGCTAAGAAGAGGGCTAAGGAAGCAGCGAGGGAGACAGCAAGGGAGGCAGCAAAGGAGACAGGGAGACACAGAAAGAGCACTTGAGACAGCAAATGAGACAGCATAAGAAATAGCAAATGAAACAGAATAAGAGATACAAACGGAGACAGCTGAGTAGACAGCACGTGCAGGGGGAAATAAAGAGACAGATATATGATGCTTTAGAGAGACACAGAGACACCGTATGCAAGAAGAGGAGAGAGGAGACACCTAGAAAAGAGACAAGGCACCTCAAACTCTGCACTCCCGCACTCCAGTAGACACACTAAGACACAGCAGCAGGAGACAGCAGAGGAGACAAAAAAGAGAGGAGTTATTCTTTGTTATTAGCACCCCTAGCGAGAGTAAAGTTCGCACACAAAGAAATGCAAGCAATAATAGAGCAAGCTTGTGCCGCTGTCTCTTTGTCTCTTACTGCACCTCCATTGCGAATCCACTGTCTCCTTATTAACTAGGGTGTCTCGTTATTACATAGAGTGTCTCCTTCTGTGTCTCCTTTTAAGTTCAGTGTCCCTGTTTATGTCTCCCTTTTAACTTGAGTGTCTTCTTATTAATTTGGGTGTCTCCTTATCAATTGGAGTGTCTCCTTATTAACTTCAGTGTCTCCTTATCAATTGGGGTGTCTCCTTTAGCGTCTCATTTTCCTGTTCTGTGTCTGCTCTTTAAATCGAGTGTATATTGCATCTGCTTAGCAGATCGAGTGTCTCCTTCTGCGTCTCCTTATCAAACAGAGTGTCTCCTTTTGCGTCTCCTCGAGTGTCTCCTCTTGCGTGTCCTTACCAATTCAAGTGTCTGCTGTTGTCTGTTTATAAACTCGAATGTCTTCTTCCTCCCCCATTGTCTCCATTTGCATTTGCTTATAAACTGGAGTGTCTCCTTTTGTGTCTCCTTATAAAACAGAGTGTCTCCTTTAAGTAAATTGCTTCATCTGAGTATTAATTTGAGTGTCTCCTTTTGTATTATTCAGGGCTGCGATATATCTACGTTTGGGCCTGCATACTGCGCTGCTGAAGACAACCCCAGAGCAGCAGATATACTGTGGAGTTTAGAAAACCGAAAGAATAACACTTATTTAGTAATGGCTTTAGGCATGTTAGCATTTTCAATACTGGTCCAGTGGTCATGTAGCCTAATGGAGAAGAGAGTACTTAGAGGAGGAGACCTTTTCTCAAAAGAAGTTATGGAGACTGCCTTCAGACAAATCGCTCATATTGCTATCGTTGATGTTATTCTTTGGGGCTGCATGCAATCCAACGTTGCAGCCATTCTTGATGAACTCGTCTTTGGAGATGTAAGGGGCCTTCGTCTCAGGGCCCAGGGCATATATTTAAAAAGGAGACAGATAGAAAAAAGGAGACAGATAGAGAGGAGGAGACAGATATAAACGAGGAGACAGATATGAGCGAGGAGACAGATAGAGCGGAGGAGACAGATAGAAGGGAGGAGACAGATATAAATGAGGTGTATGTTTTATTTGTTTCTGTTTGTGTATTGTTATAGGTGATGCCTCAACACCGTGACGCAGATATTGTACTCGAAAATGTGTCTCCGATGTTAGAGGTCTTGTTTGAAGAGTTATTCTTTGTCGCTATTTTGCTGCTTATTTGGTAAGAGCAGCAGCAAGAAAGTTTGTCTCCCTCCCGCTGCAGCGCAGCAGCCCCAACGACATTAGAGACGCATAATATACCTCAACAGAAGGAGACACCAGAGACAGCCCGTAGGCTGGTGTCTCCTTTGTTAACCCCAAACCACCCCCTCCCGTAGCTGCAGCGCCCACAGCTCGCTCTTGCTGCAGCCGCTGCATCTTCTTGCCCTTGTGCTGCTGCTGCTACTTCTGCTGCTGCTGCTGCTGCTTGGTGTGCAGGTACGTGGTGTTTGTAGTGCTGCTGCAGTGTCTGGTTCGTCAGCTAGCTGCCTGGATGCGAGCTGTTGATGAAGAAGAAGATGTGCAGCTAGCAGCACAGAAGGCGGAGGCAGCAGAAGCCTCTTGCTTCGGCCGCTGTCTCCGTTCTCAGGATATCTCCAAGGCTTGCTTCTTAGCGCATAGGTAAAGGACTCTGTGCAGCAGCAGCAGCAGCAGCAGCAGACACGCAGCAGCGACCCTAGCCTAGCCCTCTTAAGGAGACAAACTCAGAAAAGCAATACTCAAAGACATATACACAAAAAACGCATACAAAGGCCTCAACAGCAACAAGCAACGAAAAACCAAATGCATGCAGACAGCGCAGAGTTTAACAGAGGAACTCCTGCAGCAACAAACAGGCTTAGATCGGCCCCCTTATATATTACATAGGGCTTAAAACAAATTAGGGTTTAGGGTTTAGGGTTTAGGGTTTGGGGTGTAGTGGTGGGTAACAGGCCTTTTAGGCTGTACAGAGACGAGAACAGTGTCTCCTTTTATTTGCTTCTTCTTTAGTGCTGTCTCCTTGGAGTGTAGGGACGCCTGCTTCTTGTGGTGTATGTGTAGAAGTATCTGTCTCTTGGGGTGTATGTGTAGCAGCAACTGTCTCCTCTGTCTCGTGCGTGCATGCTCTCTGTCTGTCTGTCTCTGTCTCCTCTACGAGGGCCTTCATTATTATTGTGTTTGAATATGGAGAGCCGATGCCTGGCGTATATCTTTTTGTAACTGTCTCTGTCTCTTTTTCTGTGTCTGTCTCTGTCTCCGTCTGTCTCTTTATCTGCCGTTACGCTTATTTGTCTCTGGTGTACTGTCTCCTTATTGTCTGTCGTTGTCTCTGCTTTTGTCTCCTTATCATGTGCCTCTGCCCCTGTGTGGGTGTCTCTATAAACGGCCTTCATATGTCTCTTTATTAGCTGTCTCTGTCTCTGTATCCTTATTATCTGTCTCCGCATGTGTCTCTGTCTCTGTCTCCTCACTGTCTGTCCCTCTTTTCTTATCATCATTGTATCTGTTTGTCTCCCTGTTGCCTGTCTCCTTGCTTCTGATTCTTTATAATATCTCTTTGTCTCTGTCTCTTGATCTATTATCTGCATGTCTTTGCCTCTGTCTCCTCACCATCTGTCTCCCTATTGTCTGTCTCCTTGTCTCTGACTCCTTATAATATCTCTCTGTCTCTATGTCCTGCTCTATTGGCTGTCTGTGTGTGTCTCTGTCTCCTCATCATCTGTCTCCGTGCCTCTGACTCCTTAAAAAATATCTCTGCCTCTTTGTTTAGTATCTGTCTGTCTTTGTCTCTCTGTCTCCTCACCATCTGTCTCCTTAAAGTATCTCTCTGTCTCTTTGTTTATTATATGTCTGTGTTTGTCTCTCTGTCTCCTCACCATCTGTCTCCTTTTAAGGTATGAGTTCGCGGACAACGTGGAGGCCATCAGCATACCTGGGATTGACCCCTCGGGTTATTATTTTATGGAGTATCTTCGCGCATCTTTGATGAAGATGGCGATAGAAATGCTGCGTCTACCTAACAGCACTTTGCTGCTGCTGATGGTGGTAGCGGGGTGTCTCCGTCCCTTCTTAAGCTTTCGTGTGCATGCAGAAGCAGCAGTTTTGTCTCTATGCTCTTTCCTCTGTCTCCTTCTTATGCTGGGTGCCTGGGCCTACGTATCCTATATAGAGAGACAGCTTAGGCCCTCTCATATCTCGCACTACTTAATGATGCGATATCACACAGAAGTAGGAGGCGACGCCTCAGCTGAATACATGCAGCAGTTTACTCCCCCGTACAAGCTGCAGCAACAGCAGGTAAGAGCTGCCTATACACCCCAACATCATGTGTCTCCTGCTGCTAACCTTCTGTGTCCTGTGTCGCTCTTGTCTCTCTCTGTCTCTGTCTCTGCCACATTTCTGTCTCTACTTTCTTTGTCTCCTTGTTGTCTCTGCACTGTCTGTCTCCTTCTTGTCTCTGCACTGTCTCTCCCCACGCCGGCTGCCTCTAAAGATATGCGCTTTTGCTTACCTTCTCTTTGTCTCTGTCTCTGTCTCCATCTCTGCATGTGGCTTGTCTCTGTCTCTGTCTCTGTCTGCGTCTTTCTCTCTTTATTGTCTCTTTCTCTGCACCCTCTGTGCCTTTACTCTCTCTCTCTCTCTCTGTCTCCTCTCTGTCTCTATCCCATGTCTGCCTCTGTGTCTCTACTGTCTTAACTGTCTCCTTTATCTGTCTCAACTGTCTCTTTTTATCTGTCTCTGTGTCTGCAGAGTGCATGGCCAGGTATTTGCTCTCGATATTTCTATGGTACGACTTTGCCTAACAAACATCAGCAGCTCTTTTGCTTCTGGGCAAACGGACCCACCATTGTTATGCGCGTCTTAGAGGTAAGCAAAAGGAGACACATATTAAAGAGGAGACACATATTAAAGAGGAGACATATATTAAAGAGGAGACATATATTAAAGAAGACACAGATATTAGAAAGGAGACATAGATTAAAAAGGAGACAGATATTAGAAAGGAGACAGGCATTAGAAAAGAGAGATAGATTAAAAAGGAGATAGATATTAGAGAGGAGATAGACATAAGAGAGGAGACAGATATTAGGGAGGAGACTGCGAAAGTAGAAGAGATAGAGACACAAACAGAGGCGGAGGAGACAGAGCCATGAGAGAGGAGACAAATATGAAAGAGGAGACATATATGAGAAAGACAGACAGAGACAGAGAGACGGAGACATAAGGAGACAGACAGACAGACAGACAGAGAGGAGGCAGGAAATGAGGCAGAGAGGAGACAAAGACACCAGACGAGACAGAGACACGAAGGAAAATATAGATGAAAAAGGAGACAGAAAGATGAAAGGAGACAGAGATAGAAAAGGAGACAGTTGGAGCAGTAGGCAGATATAGAAAAGGAGACCGTTAGAGCAGTAGGCAGCCTGTAGATCCTCTCTGCACGTTGCGGTGTCTCGATAGCACAGATATTATAGAGAGGAGACAGCAGAAGAGGAGAAGGAGACAATGCTAGAATAGAAGAGACACTTTATTCCTTCATATAAACAAACCCTGAGAACGACAAAACAGCCAACGGAGACAGTTAATATCTGTATAGAGAACAGCCGAGTGTATGGAGTAAAAAAGGAGGCCTTGTCTATATCTTACATCGTTGCATTGCGCTGTCTCCTCTCCTTCTCTGTCTCTTTCTTTCTCTTAGGCTTCTTGCTTCTGTCAGCTATTAGTACTCGCCTGGTGGGTGCAGTTGCTGAGGTCTCACCCTGCAACATGGCTGCGTCTGTCTTGGTGGGGTGATATTGCTGTGGGTGTCTGCGCCTTTCTTCATTTTGCCCTGCTTAAACAAGTTCTTTACTCCTCTCTTCTCGCTCTTCGCTGCGGAATGCTCATTGATCATCCTCTCTTAGAAAAGGTATTCATACAAACATATCCATACACCTCAAGACATTCTGTACTCTTATCTCCACCATCTATACACAATATATATATATATATAGTGTATATATATTATATATGTGCATGTATATATATTATATATATATTATGCGTATATATAATCGTGGCCTCCTTTAATATTGGGTTGGCGTACCTGTCTATATATATATATATATATGTAGATATACGTGAGTATGTTAATATATCAAAGTGTATATATATGCTTACAAGATGTGTTTCCTTCTGTCTCCTTTTGTCTCCTTGAATGTAATAAAGTGTCTCGTTTTGTGTCCTTTAACTTATGCAAGTGTCTCCTTTTGTCATTTACTGTCTCCTTTTGTCTGTTCAGGTGTGGGAGATTCAAAGGGCGGAGAATGTGCGGCGTACAGCGGAGTTAATCGACCGCCTGCGCATTCAGTCGACTTTGTTTGCAATCAGAGAAGGAGGAGACATGTTCTGGAAGCAAATGCAAATCAAGTACTTCATATCTTTTCTTATAAATTATAAATTATATAATATATATGCAATATATAAATATATATTTATCTAGTATATAATATATCGATATATATATATATATATAT